CTGTAGAGGTTGAATAGCTACAGCCTTGGAATCTTTTTCAGCCAAAACATGACCTGGTCGATTATTTAACTGCAACCCGGACTCGTCCATGTTGTAAATATGGCCAGGGTTATTTATTAGGTCATTATCACTGAGAGTTCTCTCAAGCATTTTGAAATAGGCGTTTACCTATAATTTATTTATCCCTTGACTTCTAGCGTATGACACCCCTTCTGATTTCCTCAATGAAATATCCAATAATAGCCCGCCTTTTCAGATGTTTTACAGAATCTATGTTCAATTATTAATTGCTCAGCAAACTTGAATGCAATTATCCTTAAATCATTTATAGTCAAAGGAAATCCTCTTTACTGCATGTCTTTTATATACTTGCTCAGTCTTTTTTCATTATCTGTACCGAAGGCAGATGACGGTCCCATATGTCCTTCAGTGTTGCTATTTATAGTTTTAACCTTGTTTCAAGTGTTTTTCTTGGTATTTTGTAGATAAAAGAGGCCCTATAAATCGTCATCCCTCGATCTTGTACTTCTTCCATAGCGTTTTCTACATCTTCCGTTCCGATTCAAACCGAACTAAACGATGACTAGTACCATCTACTGATTATTACTTGAACTTTTTTCTATTGGCCATCTCTCCCGTACAGCCGTCTCCCCCGGAATTACCCTATCAATACCTCAACATGAAATAAGTTTTGAGTATGTTGCAATAAGTTTTAAGTGTATTTTATCGAATTTTGGTAACCACATGATTTCAATTTATTTCATCTTAATTGNTGAATTCTACGAATCTGATTGTCTTTGATTAGTTCATATTTTTATAAATATAAGTATATGTCTTGACATTAGTTCACATCGTTATTCATTCTATTCAAAAATGAATCAATTACCTACATTCGATCAGCAGAGCATGTAGAATAATATCTAGGATAAGTTTATTAGGATATTTTATGAAAAAATCAAATTACAATTTTTTTTGGCAGTTTGGAATTATAGTACCCATTTAAGTTAACCAAAATATACCTAGGTTAGGTTAGGTTTGGTCCAAAGTGAGTGGGTCTATTCGACCCTCTATCGCAACCCGCAAGGGTTTATTATGGCTCATCTATTCACAATCGACCAAATAAACCCAGCTTCTTAACGAAGCCGATTAGTTTGTATGGTAAGTGGTCTTTCAGGTCAGATGGTAAGAGTACGGCTCAGCCGAACTCTAAAAACCTGATACGGACTCCAGCGGGGTAGGCACAAAGTATATGCTCTGCTGTTTCATCGTTAATGAGGCAGTGAATGTCACCTGGTAGGCTGTTTGTCGGTGAAGATTTGCCTATACCTATAAACAATGTTTGTTGATGGTATCGATAACACCGTGTTGCTGATCTCTTCGACAGTGAATCTTTTACAAAACCTTGTCAGAGTGCGATAATAATTAATCCCAAAATCACTTATTTTGCAGCACGCAGTATCACTGCGTGTAATACTAGTCGATCAGACTTTCTCATACGATGCCATGACATTTCTATGATTTTTTTAAAACAAACAAAATTTATGTAGCAGAAGCTCAAAAAGCCTAAAAAAAATGAAGCACACATATATGGTGTTGGTTGTCACATCCAGCCCCCGTCAAGTTGAGCCAACCAGCCCTAAAACACATTTCAAAATAATACCTATGAGACTCGACACAAATGAACAAAATTTTACTTCAGCCGTCCGAAAAAAACAAATGTACAGATCTCCCTCACACAGTATAAGAGTGAACTGAAGTGACGTTAGGTCAGGGATATTGCTTTCGCGATCCTTCGATTTTGTTTGATACACTCTTTCGTTTGTTTGATTTTCCAATATGGTCGCTGTGACAACCAACCCGTGAGACAACCATATCCGGTCTCCCTTATCACGTACCATAATTTTCGATTTAACAGCTACAAATGAGTAAGGGATACCTCAGCTGATTTACTGAACAGAATGAAATAAAAATGTTAAATATTGGACAATAAACAATATCTAGTTCCCTCATCGATAATGATTTGTGTTTTATATCATTATAATAGTTCAATAGAACTGATGTCAAGACTGAACATAGTTGTGCGCGTTTTATACCCAACTAATATCTAAAAACTCGATTCAAATGAGGAAAACGAATATTCTGTTTTGGTAAAAAAATCGAAACCAAAATATTCGTAATTTTTTACATTTGGTATATTTTATAGTCATCGTTTCGCTTATACCCTGATATACATTGAAATTTAGGCCAACAATAAAGTTATACCCATAAATTACATGAAAGACAGATATTACAATTCTTACTTACGTATATAATTAATGATAACATGTATAATGACCAAAATAAACACATCCATTATATATTATAAAACATGTGACCTAAGCTCTGTGGGCTTACACTCACCCTCCCTACTCTACAGATACAGAAAAGCTCAGATCAGACCTTCTTTGAAGTATTGTTCTCATGTATGGAGCTCTGCCTCTTAGCATACTATGAAGCTGCTGGATTCCATCCAGAAAAGAGCCAGCCGTCTGATTGGAGACATAAACATCACTTGCAACATTGATAGTTTGGAACATCGAAGAATGGTTGGAGATGTGTCTATCCTTCATACATACTTTTTCACTGGAGATGTTCGAGTGACTTGGCACATTTGATTCCACCAAGGGCGATACATATCAGAAATACGCGACGGACTGTAATTTAGATACTTACCAGCACTTTCGTCTTGCTCAACTTCTTCTGTACTGGCTTCTTCGCTGGAATCAACAAACTTGTGGAGAACACCCCAATCCTCTTTGATCATATCGGCAGCTTTTTCTGCGACCATTATGACAGGGGCATTTGTGTTTCCAGTGGGAATATACGGCATAATAGAACAATCCACAACCCTCAGATTTTTTATTCCTGTTGAAACATTCTTCATTATAACGAAATTTTTAGAAATGTTAGAAAATATTAAGTTGTTTCTAAAGTTTTGTCCGTTTTTTATGAGGCTACTTTAACTGTGATATCTCAGTAAATACTCATCCACTTCAATTAAAATAAGCAGCATTTGCAACAATGCACTTTTACCAACGTAACACAAGTTGATTGATTTTGTCAGTTCACGAAGATTCGATCAATCGATCAAGGACATTTGTATCTGTTTATATATTCCAACTCCACAATTTTTCGATTTTCAAAATTTTTAATATATCCAAAAACCTGTTGTCGTGTACCGGTCTCAACATTCCTTATTTATTCATTTAGTCTGGGTCACAAGATCCTTTTTTTTGGAACTGCTGTCCAAGGGCACCAAAAATTATGATCCAGGGTACATGGTTGTTTTGGTTTTTTTAGTATTTAAAAAATTATCGTAGAAACTAATTTATTTAAAAGAAATTATTTATTAAATAAATAAAGAAAACATAATTTGAAAAAAGTTTTTCCAGGATATCAAAGAGAAATAGAAATTATGATTTAAAAAAAATCATTCCCTAATATTAATATTCAGTAGCAAACAAANATAACAGATTTAGCATAGTCAAGGTAGATAAAATAATACAAATAGTTAATATGGTTGACATGTTAGGTTTTTTAAATAGAGGTCTACAGCTGTCAGTTTGTTGTGCCCTTCCCAGGATTCTAAAAGCCGTTTTTTGTAAAATGAATATCCTTTTCCAATCAGTTGAAAGTCCCAAAAAAACCAATCCATATGACAGTTTGGGCTGAAATAACCCCATGTAAGCTGCTCTCGAAATATGAGAGGGAACAAATTCATTGATTCTACGAAGCAGGTAAAGAATGCCGGACAGCTCAGTAGAGAGACCTTTGATGTGTTCTTTCCAATTAAGTTTTTGATCCAATGTTACCCCCAAAAACTTAATGGATTTTTGACTGTCCTTCAGTACTTTTTGTTTCAGTTTTCTCGACATTCAAGCATGACTTATTGGCTTTGAAAAAATTCGATTATTTTCAACACGTTGTCAGTTTGTTGCTTTGGATATTCATGTTCAGGGCGACTCTCCTAAATAGTAGTATCATCGGCATACTGAATCGTGTTGAGGGGTTTCATATGGTGTGGAAGATCATTAAGATATATTAGGAATAGTAGGGGTCCCAAGATTGACCCTTGAGGTACCCCTGCTGCTGCTGGAGACAAAATATCCTCAGAATAGTCCAAGGAATATTCCCTTAATTTTTTCCGCATGTTTCATAAACACCCTGTATAGCTCGCTACTAGGAACATGTTTCAAATATTCGGTTTCACAGTCCAGTGAGGGGTATAGTGTCTCTCAACATGTTCTACAGAACGGTCAGTGAATAAGTGAGAAATGCTTGTGAAATCATTCCAAATTCCCAATTTAACATTTACTACTTTCATAACGTCACTATAGTGAATCCGTAATTGTGAATGCTTTTTACTGTTTGATGTCCACTGATGATGGTTGACAGATTTCGAAAATGAAAGTGGCTATTATTTTTAATAACGAAATTTTCGCTCACCTCGAACTCTGAGCCGTGGGTCTACAACAGCTGTGGGATCTTCATCCGGGCCCATCTTCGCTGTTCCTACAGGGTGATATATCGTCATGGTATAATGTTGGGCTTGACAAGCCCAATACTCGTCGGAAAGGAACTCTAAATGGTGACAGCCAGGTATACGTAACTTGTTGAAGGTGGTGTTATAGTTCATCATTGTTTGGGACAATGCAATCCGGTGTCCAATTTTTGCTCCTTCCACCTTGAAATGTTCCAGAATATTCAGTACATGAAGTTTCAAAATTCAACAAATACTGAACATGCTCAGTTAATCAGCACAGCTTGTCAAATCTAGGAAGCGACTTCAAAGTCTCGGCTGATGACCTTATTCCCTAAGATGCGCGTCGTAGAAAACCTTTAAAGACGATCGGAGCTCAGTCTTAACGACAATCACTGAGGATGCACTAAAAAACACACTTTTGTCTATTTTCCACGCTATTCAAAATAGCTATTTTGAATAGCGTGGAAAATAGAAAAAGGTGTGTTTTTGTAGTGTCTGAGTCTGTCTGTGCTGAGAAAATGGCAATATAATCGAAATTGAAATGAAAAGTTTGGTGTGGTCACGATAGAAAAGTGATTACTAATGTACTTTTTTTCATGCAACAAGAAGCTGATAATGTCATGAGCATGAACCAGAGAAAAGTTTGAGAGCGTTGTTCAAAAGCGGCGAGAGTAAGTTTGGGTCGCCTTCAAAAATAGTTCCAGAAATGAAAACAATTGAAAATGGTAATTCATCCTCTTTTTCAACGTCTAATGAAAAAAAACTCACAAGAGCATCAAAATCAGATTTTGATGATTTCGACAAGAGCCTTCTTCATCGATTTATAATTAGTTATTACATTGCTGACAAAAAAATTCCCACCTCACACCGCATACATTGAAAATTCGTTGACGAAAATGGGATTTTATGATTCTCTGAGGAAAATAATGAAAGAAATAGGGTTCAGATGTAGGGAAATGAGAAAAAATAGAAAATTGCTCATGGAAAAACTGGCGATTCAGCAGTTGCGAAAAAAGTCTCACAGAGACAGGAAGAAATACTGTGAAGAAGGTCAAACAATAAGTTATATGGATGAAACATATGTCTNATAATGAATCATAATATGATATTATATACGGGGTGTTCCATTTGAAAAATCAAAGAAGCCGCTACTTTATAGTAGAAGCTACAACGCCGCTTCGTCTGAAATATTTTACGCGTGTAGGTCATATCGACTTATGCATACTGTGAAATTTTCAAGTTGATCCGTTGAATAGTTTGCCAGAAACGGTTAATAAACGCTGTATAATCAATTATTACATTACTGAGAATCAATTCCCACCTTACGCCGCATACATAAAAAAAATTTGTACATCCATGTTTCACATACACGTGAGAAGAGTTGGAATGATGATTCGAATGAAAGGTTGCTTGCACCAATTTCAAAACGGCAGAGACTTATGATTGTGAATGCAGGACGATAAAATGTATTTGTGAAAAATTCATATCTAAAATTCAAATCCAACACGAAATCGGGCGACTATCATAGCCAAATGAATAACGACAATTACTAGAATTGCAAGATTGCAAGAAATGTTAATTCCCAATCTTCCAGAATAAAGCGTTTTGTTTAGGGACAATGCCCCATACCACAATGTTCAGTATGAAAATGTCCTTGAAGAAAGATGAGATGAGAATGGTTAGGACGACGAAACATTCGTTTCACAGAAGATACTTTTCTCTACTTCTGTATAATTCAGTGTTCATATAGAAGTATTTGTTTCGAAAGATTTTTTTTTCTTTCGTGTAATTTAGTGTTTATATGAAAGTAGCTGTTTCAGGAGGACTTTCTTTCAGTTTGTATCTGAAAGTTACTTCTTTGCTTGATCTTCACATCCATGTATAGAGTAACTTATTTTCAAATTGATTACTTCCTTCCTTTCTTTGGAAGATTCCCCCATCTTTTTTTTGTATCAAGATGGAGTAGTAGAAAGCCAAAAACTTTCTTTCCCAAAAATTAATCACTCCTAAAAATATAACCCCTTCAATTTAAGTGAATTATTAGAGTAAAAAATTAAGAAGAGAACAACAACACACAATTAGTATTAATTCAATTACGAAAATTCACAAACTGACAGCGTCATACCAATTTAATTGTCACTATCGCTAATAGCGACCTCCTAGAAAGATTAGTTCCGTATTTTCGAATTTATGACGATGTATCTCTGTAGTTGTTCGTAAAATAATTTTTTGCTACGAACTGGTTTATTTTGGGCAAAAAACCCAAGAGACATTTTTTGTTTAGAATGAAACATGCTATCGGAAATAAGTTTTTATATGGTAAACAAATAATAAGACGAAAAGTTACATTGGAAATAAATTTTAGGGGTTGCGTTTTCCACCCCTTACAACAATGGGGTAAACCAAATAAATTTCTGGCCAAGTGTCTTTCTGGTAGTACAAAACTTCGGGTCAATTTCAATATTGTAACTTTTTTAGTGCTTGTGAAAAAAATTGTTATACAAATTTTATGTACCCCCTTTAAGGGGCTGTATCTTAAAAAGGGATGCTCCAATTAAATTTCTTTGTATGAAAGATCCTTTTTTTTTTCGATGAGGAATCACTTCCTTAAATATTTTACAGTTACTTAGTTACATCCTGTAGATCTTCAATCGGACAGATTTTGAAAGGCTAACGCTCTTCCATTTTATATACAACATTTCAAGAGTTTGGATAGTTACCCGGAATTGAGAAAGTAGGAAGCACGCATTCTGTGCATGTTTGGTTGTGAGCCAATCAATTCTCAAAATAATTACAACGAATATATGTTCTTATTTTCAGTACTCAATCACAAAACAGTCTTGGAAATAGTTATTGAAAATCTTACCATCACTTTCAAATCTTGAGGATCATCGAAATAATTCGGATAAATGAGAATCTTCGAGTGAATGTTCTTATCCTTGAGCATGAGCCTTCCTCTACTTCTAGGCCTCATCAGCAGCGTGATAATGTTGAAAGCGTCTTTGTATATTATATCTTCGTACACCGCTGTATAAAAGTCGTCGGAAAGACCCACCACCCGCTTTCCAAAGAGCCCTCCGTCAGTGTTGTCTGCATACGAGGCGAAGAAGAATTGTATGTCCGGCCAGTCATCAGACTCGTTTTCGTATTTTGTTTTAACAAAACCCATTACCTGAAATCATGCGGTTTGCATTTGACTCTTTGTTTGTTCCAAAGTAGACAACTATGAGAATTGTGTACTCGGGATTCGATGAAGTCGATGAAGGCCATGTTTGCCTGGTTCTTGATTAGCGAAGGTTTTACCGGTGAGAAAGTTATCGAAGTGCTCGAAAAGATGGTAGTCGGTTGGCGAGTATAGTGGGTGAGGCAGAACTTTAACGCTCAATTCGTTGAATTTTTGGACGGCGATTTGTGAAACGGGGAGACGGGGGTTGCCATGGAATAGGATCAGAACTCTTCTCTCAACTAATGCCGGCTGCTGCCGACGCAATTTTTAGTACGTTTCATCGAATTCCTCACAATAGGACTCTGATGTAATGGTTTGGGCTGCTTGCAGAAAGTTGTAGTGAATCATATCAGCCGTTGATCACCATACAGTTACCATGTTCTTTTCTTGGTGTGTTTTGCTTTTGAAAAGTGCCTGGGTGGCTCATTGGTATCCAACCACTGTCCGGAATGTCTCCTGTTGTTGTAGAGGATCCACTTTCCCTTACACGTGATGATCCGAACCAAAAAAAGGTTGTTTTGGTTGCGCAAAAGCGAAGAAGAACAGACCTGGAAACGTGACAACAACTTCTGTCGATCATTTATATCGTTTTGGCACCCACTTTTCGAGCATTTTCACCTTTCCAATATGCTGTTGATCATCGAAAACCGCTTAGAGCTGATGCCCAGTTTTTCCTCCATCCCACGCACCATTTGTGATGGGTTACTCTTCACCAGGGTCCTCGGTTCGTGGGATGGCGGAAGAACTGGGCATCAGCTCCCATGCGGTGTTTGATAATTTTAAGCGTACTGAAGGTGCAGCGATATTACTGGCGTTGCGCGGCTTCTTCAACCTTCTTGGGGTTCCCTCCGCGGAGGTGCACGCGTGAGGGAGCTTTCCTGTTCTCCTCACCCTACTTATTTCTGCCACTGACCAGGAGTCCGGCGACCCTATCCGTAAGGCCACATTGGTTTCCCGAACAGGGCCTCCAGTCCCCTGGCGGTTCCCCTATCTGCCACCTGGGGACGCGCCCGATAGGTAGTCCAACCCACGGGAGGTAGCCCAACCCACGGGGCACTCAGGCATTTTACAGAGTCAAAATCCCACTAAAAAGACCATGGTTACTGTATGGTAGTCAGCGGCTGGTGTGATTCACTACAACTTTCTACAACTGGAGCAAACCATCACAGCAGAGTCCTATTGTGAGGAAATCAAAGAAATGTACCGAAAATTTCGATAGCAGCATTTGGTACTGTTCAACAGAAGAAGTCCGACACTGATTCACGACAACGCCCGTCCGCACGTTTCACAAATCACCGTCCAGACCTCCAGACTCCCCAGACCTCTCTCCGACTGATTACCATCTTTTCAATAACTTCGATAGCTTTCTGACCTGAAGGTCTTCGCCAATCAGGACCATGCAAAAACGGCTTTCGTCGACCTCATCGAATCCCGATCACATAATTTGTATGCTAACGGAATAAATCAACTTCTGTTACGTTAGCAAAAGTGCATTGATTCGAATGAAGCTCATTTCAATCAACTTCAATAAGCATTCACTTGAGATATTACAGTTTGAACTAGACTCATGAAAACGGACAAAACTTTAGAAACAACCGAATAGTAAGTTTTTTTTATTTCAAACGGGCTGAAGTAATTTCTTCAAATTCGTTATCAGCTCTTGAATTAATATATGACCTACCTCACATTCCGGAAGCCAATACATAGGCCCTGATTTGTTTTTTGTGAATTCATTTATGGTCTCAGTGGAAAAAATCTTTGGAAGTTGAAAACTGCAGGATTTATTCTTGTAGTCTTCGGTTGCTTCGTAAAGATAAGTGGCTCCTCCCAGAGCCGCATGGTCCTGTATTACAAAATTATCAATAATCAATTATGTGGCAGTCCATTTGAAGAATATCATGTTTGAAAATGTCAAGTTGCCTCATTTTTAAATGGTTTCATTTGGCTTGCCCTGCTTGTTTGTTTGTTTGGGTCAAATTTACTAATTGAAGTTCGAGCCCCATCCGGTTGACAGATTGATCTGATATTTGGTACGCACATTTAGTTTTGATGGCAATACAAATCAAAAATTCTGTATCATTGTAAATCAAAGATGGCCGCAACCTTATATACTGAACTAAACAAAATGGAAAGAATTGAAAATCTTTTTATTCGTCTTCACAACGGCGGAGTTGTTTAATTTAAATCAATTCAAAGATTTTCCAAAGGATAGTGTTGATTTAGTTATAACAGTAAGTTGATTTTTTTTTCATTAATTGCAATCCATGCTTCCAATTATATCAAGAGCGGTTACAATTTTTGCAAATCCACACATTGTTTTCCATTTCAACATTACAAAAAGCATTCACATGAATATTAGATTTACTTTTTTTTAAATTAACAAATATACATTTTATACTCAATATAGCAACCAACTGGAAATGAGGCAACTCTACTTGTTTTAACATAACTTTCAACACCATTCGAAACGACTTAAAAACCGTTTTAATTTGAGTCATCGGCATCTCGATTATTATGATAACCCTACGTTATTTATAACATTTAATGAATTCCTCATTACACCTAATAGATAATGATAATTGAGGGGTAAAAAAGTTGTTTTGAAAAAAAATTTGTAGTTCGACGTAATTAGACTAATTATCTGAAAAAAATAATGTGAGTTAGATTTTATGTTCTATCCAACATTGTTATCTCTGAATTAAAATTGGTATGTATTTTATTGTCAGAAAATGCAATGATTACGGTTCTAAATCTGTTCAAACACTGTTAATTGAATATATTTCAAGTGCAAGTTGAATATAAGGATAAATGAATTAAATAACGACCATATACAGTGCGAACGTGTATATTCCCTCTAAACTTTTGGAAGGGGCAAGATTTGATGTCGGACAAAATTTTTGTTGGAAGGAGTCATTTTTTTCACTATTTTATGAAAAAAGCCAATAGTATGACATCACTTGTCGTCGAAAGGGCGATTTCAACTTTTCTTTATAGAAATGGGGGTTTTGTGATATTCCGTTCACAATGATCTTGGCTTTTTCGAATTTCGATAACCGGTTGTGGACTTATTGATTTTTGATTTTGAGACTAGGAATTTCGTAATTGGATTTGAAATACAAGTTCACTCGAAACAAAAATAAATTAGTAACATCTTTTGCAACAGATAAGGACAAAAAACGATATCATTTTTTTTTTGGCCCGTTGTTTTCAACTAAAATCATTTAAGCAAATGTTCAAAATGTTACCCTCGACCCTGATGACAGTAGAACAGTCTATTTTCGAACGCATTTCTTACATTTTCGAATGTTTTTGAGCTAATGTTCGCACAAGTTTTGGTAATTTTGTCTCTAAGTCCCCGTATTGTCCCAGGTTGCATAACAAACTTTCAATTCTATGTAGCCTTGGAGGAAAAATTCAAGAGAAGTCGAATCCGGTGAACGAGCAGGCCATTCCAACGGACCTCGCCTACCAATCCAATGCCTAGGTATGTCTGATCCCACCATTTAGTTACAGGACTTCAAAAATATGAGGGCGCACCATCTTATAAGTGAATTGTTTGAATGCATCTTGAATGTTGGCTACAAATTCCTAAACCGTGAGTGAATGAGACTGTGAAAAACTTCCAAATATGAATACCAGTCAGATTTTCCTCTAGATATCTTGTACCGACTATAATTTTTCAACATTCCTGGCCAGACATTCATTTTCTCAGGGGTTTAGGTGTGACCTTCTGATCAATATCGCAAATAGTTCATTCGTCACTAAAACAATTTCGATTTACAATCAAACGTTCGGACATTAACTCATTCTTCTGTCAGAGTCATTTGATTCATGTGATATCTTCAGTTTATAGGGACGAAACTTATGTCTTTTGAGGTATTTCTTAACGGTTTCTTGACGGTGACAGTTTCTCACGAGCAACAGTTGTCGTGCACTGCAGAAGGGTTTTCACTGTAGACTCAACGATTTTTTTGCAGCTCCTCTAGTTCTAGCTACAGTTCCAGTTGTTTGAATTCTCTGAGATATTTTCGTCAGATCAGATCATCAAAAAATATTGCTTTCAACACCTTTTCTGCGTCATGAAAATTTCGGCCAGCTGCGGTGTAAATAGTGGTGACCGGCGTTGGAAGTCACATTTTTTGTCTTTCGCATTTTTAGTATCCTTTTTTATAAATTTGCAATGATATTTTTCAATTAATAAATAGTGTTTTCATACTCATTTG